TAGATTTTTTTAAAATACTACTTAATATATATATATATATATAAACTTGAGTAGTATTTCGAGCCAAAAAGAGCTTATATATATATAAACTTGAGGAGTAGTATTTCGAGCGAAAAAGAGCTGAACACGAACGAATATATCTTAGTTCATGTTCGGCTCGTTAACTAAAATTAACGAGCCGAACACGAGCTTCTTAACAAGCCCACCATTAGCTATTCACGAACAACGAGCCGTTCTTCCATCCCTACTTAGCAGTTGTAATTTTATGTTTAGAAAGATGAATAATTAACGAGCCGAACACGAGCTTCTTAACAAGCCGATCATTAGCTATTCACGAACAACGAGCCGTTCTTTCATAAAGATGAACTTATGTTTAGAAAGATGAATAATTTTGGAAGAAATAATTTACAGATATTTCTTCAATTTTTATTGGTTACTTCACTCATTTTTCCTCCTGCCGACGTCCATTCCACACAACGGATGCCTTGCTCTCTCTCTTCTGACTTTCTTCACATGGGGTACCTGGAAGAGAGCCAGGTATGAGTTATTAATGTCAAATCATTTCCATCGCATTGCTTTCAGGCCTGGAGGGTCCCCCGGCTTTACAATAAATTAATGCGAGATTCCACTGAATATATAATTAACTATGCACTTAATTAATATGCCGGTAGTACATTTATATTTGCACAAATCTCATTGATCAAACTATATCAAAGAAGACTAAATGTGATTTAATAAGTGACTTGAGTGGTCAGAAGAATGTGAGCAGATATTTTCAGAAGCTTAAAGATTCTTTAAAATCTCCACCAGTCCTCCAGAGCCCCGAGCTCATTGAAGAGCTTTACCTCTATTTGGGAGTATGACCTAATGTCATCCGTTTTGTTATAGTCAAGAGAGGAGCTCAGAAAACAATTCTCAGTTCACTATGTTAGCCAGGTCTTCAGAGGAGCCAAATTTGGGTATCCTATTATTGAAAAACTAATTTTTGTTGTTATTGTCTTAGCTCGCAGAAAGCGGCCTTGCTTCCAGATGCATCTGATTTGAGTCGTTACTAATCACTCTCTCAAGTCTATTCTTATTCAACTAGAGAATTACGGTCAGCTTCTCAAATAAATAGTGGAACTCAATGAGTTTGACATCTCCTACATACCTTGGACCGTGATCAAAGCTCAAGTGATAGCAAATTTTTTTTGCAGATTTCTCTAAGCTGCAAGAGCGGAACGAGGTGTTGACGACTAGACTTGGATTTTACAGACCGACGGAGCTTCAAGCCAGGCAGGGGCAAGACTCAGTCTCTCTCTTACCGGTCCGATCAGGGAGCATATTAACCCATTGATTGAGGTTTGGTTTGAAGTTATCAACATTCCGGCTGAGTATGACGCCTTGATTGTTGCGCTTCGACTTGCATACAAGAAAGATACCTGATACCTTGTGGTGAAATTTGAATCACGTTTGGTGGTGAACCAAGTCAATGGTGAATGTGAAGTCAGGGATGACTTGTTGGCCAGATATTTGAAGAAAGCAAAGATAAAGATTAGAAATTTTGAAAGCTTCAAAATCGAGCACACCACCTAGGAAGAAAATCAGATAACATACCTCTTATTCAAGTGTATCTGCTTGGGGGAAGAGACACCCCAAAAATTAACCTGTCGACTATTGAAGAAACAGTGACAATGAAAGTGGAGACCATACTGAAGAGTTGGATGGACTCCTACATCCAATACCTTGCAACTAGAAAGATTTCAGAGGGTGTTATTGACCGAAGGCAATTAAAGATCAGATGCACATTAAATTCTGGTCAAAGGCTATACTTGAGGTGTGTAACCGAGAGTAAGGTGGAAGATATTCCGTGAGAGATACAATATGGGGAATGCAGGAGTCATTCTGGAGAAAACATTATGAAACATAGAGTACAATAACAGGGCTAATTTTGATTAACACATATAAACGACACCGAAGGATTCTCTAAAAGATGCAAGCAATGCTCGAAGTATGCACCATCGCAACACCAACCAATACATAAGCTACAACCATTCATCCGCCCATGGCCTTTTACTGTTTGAGGACTTAACATCCTTAGACCATATCTAAAGGCCAATGAAAGTTTCTGCTAGTTATCGTGGATTACCTCCCTAACTGGATCAAGGCTAAGTTAATTGCTTAGATCACAATGGAAGTCATCTGGAACTTCATCTAGACAGAGCTTATATGTCATTATGGGTTGTCACTGATAATCATCACTGACAATGGGACATAGTTCATCGATTACGGAATCAAAGACTTTTGCCACAACCAAGGAACCAACATAAAATTTTATCACTATATCACCCTCAGACAAATGGTCATGTTAAGGCGGCTAACAAAATCAATCTAAAGTTGAAAAAATAAAAGGCCATAGGATAAAAAGAAACTAGGTTGAGATCCTTCTATTATTCATATGGGTGGTTTAGACCACACATAAATAACGACTGGGTAGATTCCCTTCATGTTTTCGTATGAGATGGAAGTAATGAGATCGATCAAGTACAACCACCATAGTCAAAGAGTCATGTTGGATTCCTCATTTGATGAAGAAAATCTAGTTGAATGTTAAGAAGCAAATAATGTAGGTGTAATGCTTAAACTCAATTTTGTTGAAGCAAAATAGTCCAACTCTGCTCTACGACACTAAGAAGTAAAAATAAGAATGGCTTGGTACTACAACGAGCATATTTAAGAAAAGGCTTTTGTCCTAAGAAATCTTGTGTCGAAGAAAGCCGACCGAACGACATAAGGAGAGGTGATAAAAAAGCTTGATAGGCTTGGTACTACAACGAGCATATTTAAGAAAAGGCCTTTGTCCTAAGAAATCATGTGTCGAAGAAAGCCGACCTAACGACATAAGGAGAGGTGATAAAAAAGCTTGATCAGACCTGGACCAGACCATTCATTATTGACCAAAAGTTCACCTCCGAAGCATACAAGTTGAAGACGTACATGGGCAAAGGAGTCCCTCAGACATGGAGCAGAGACGATCTAAGGAAGTTTTTTCCTTAGAAAAGTTTCTTGTATAATCATGAAAATATAATGACATTTTTTTCAAGCTTTTGTATATTTTACAAATAAATATTCAAGACATGACTCGACTAATTATATGTATAATCCGAGGTCCAAATGACATTCAAGGAATTCAACATGTTCAAGCTTGTCGAAACTTGGCCAATGCACCAAAAACTTGGGCCC